ATATAAATTGATACACCATCTCGATTATATTGTCACGCATTCGTTTGCACTCAGTTCCATTTTCGATGTCATGTAGATCTGATCTCATATTTGTCTAATATGTCTCGCGGAGATGTTCTTGGTTCTATGATCTGTGCATACTAATTGGGATTACTTCGTTTTCGTGCCCACTACGCTATGTAGACGTTTTCCGCTGGGTGGGTCGGCACAGCCAGTGTCATAGCCTTCGATCCCGTTCAGTGTCTGGTGGCAGTGGGGACTACGAAAGGCATTGTGCACATGTATGGACAACCTGGCTTAGAGATGAAAATCAATATCCCTGAACGCCAATGCGTCAAGTTCATGCATTTTGTGATCAACGAGGTAAGTACGGCATGCAGTAGTCTGTGTTTCAAGCTGAATGAATTACAATACTCAGGCGGCTCTGATCATCTCAGTCTACTGTGCTTTTTAGGCGGGGGCCAGTACTACAACCTCAGTAGAAATGGATATTGTTTTCGCAGGTCAGCGCGGATTTCCGCTATGTGTTATTCTGTTAATTGTTCTTCATATGTGTTCTATCTACCATTTACTTATAGTCATTTCACTCGCGTTGAATGCGTTCGTAGGGCTACCTCATAGTCATCACAGACGCCAACCAATTATACTACATCGACTATCACTCGGGCGGGCTGAAGATCACAGTGACTCACTCTATCGGCACCGAAGTGAGCGCCTCAGAAATGGCCTCGATGTCGGAAAAAGATACGGTATGTGTTGGGATGGACGCTATTTTGCATATAAGCAGTGATGTATCAATGTGCAGTGTACATACGCTTGTAGGCGCCCGGATCTGAAACTTCGGTTTGTGTGCAAATCCGGCTCCATCGATTCATATATATGTCATTTCGTGGCTTTGATGCTCATTCTTATGAACCTTTCTGCCTTCTTCATGGACCTTCTACGTGCGTGCCAGAATCCGAATTTGAGTCTACTTGTGACTGTGTATGGCAGTCTTCTGTGTGTTTTGAGCTCATCATCACCCACTTGTAAGACCCGATGTGTACCGCCCAGGAGGCACAGGTTCTGTTGACTCTTCCACTATCTCATTGCTTTCCCACGCTTTCTCATGTGCACTATATAACCACAATTACATCCACCAGGCTTTCTGGCTATACCTTGGCACGACGAAAGGAAACGTCATCACACTCACAGGTAACGCACAAGGGGTGTGCCAGGCCAAGGATCAGATATACTGGAACCACTTCACAGCCCCAAGCAATAAATCACACCCCGGAAAGATTGTGGCGATCAAAGGTGCGTCTCTGCTAGCTTAGTTAGTTGATATACGGCATCTAAGTCCTTGAAGTATGGCTGTACACGTTTTATTGGTAAAGAAGAGACCGTTGCTTAGTATGTACACTCGCTGCATTCGCAACGCACTGACCAGCAATCTCGTAGGGCTCGCTCAGGCCCGTTCCGACCACGCACGCACACGCGCGCCAGCCGACGCACACTGACAAACAATGTGTGTGGTTTAATACCTTACAATCATATTCTTGTCGAGATCCGACTACAATGTATACAACGCGTGCTCACACGCCACACACGCACACAATGCACACGCACACACTGGGGGATGGTGGAGGGACTTTACAAGGGTGCTGATATCGAATGTCGAGATTGTATCGCACAGCAGAGTGACATTGGTTAGCACAGTACGCCCGACGTTCCCTCTGTATATCGTATACACGCACGTGCTTCGCTGATTCGACACGTGGCTATATTGCTGTCTCCTGTGTGATCAAGTACTCACAAGCTTGTCCCAATCTCTCCCATCAGAATCGCCAACGCTGCCGACGAGGTTGCTAATTGCGCACAGTGAAGGCAACGTCTGCGTCTACTGTATTAAGAAGAAAGTCACGACAATGCTGACAGTGTAAGTGACGCCCTCTGTGTGGGAGGCCTGATTGTCTTCCATTTTACGTATGTCTCCGCAAAGTAGGTGTCTGTGTGGGATGATGTCTGATTGTCTTCCATTTTACGTATGTCTCCGCAAAGTAGGTGTCTGTGTGGGATGATGTCGGATTGCCTTGTATTATACGTATGTCTCCGCAAAGTAGGTGTTTCCAACTTTTCATGAGCGAACGTGAGGGATTGGTATTGGTGCAGGGCTTTGCAGACTGATACAAATGGGATGGTACGGTACGTATCTAGGCTCACGAAACGTACATCTAAGGTTCCACTGTGAATTCTGGGCTCAACTACTCTCCTGATCAGATATATCATCGGATGAATCTTTTAATTCAGTGATTCGTTTGCAGTTTTTTAACCTATTGCCACCCACCCACATTCATTCGGTGCACACACAGGTACAAACACAAGACCATACGTTCGCTGAGCTGGCACCCGCTTGATAATCGGTTTCTCGTAGGCTTCGAGGACGGCACGAGGCTGTCTTGGGCCAACAACAAACTCGAACCCCAACACCAGAGCGAAAGCAATCATACGCTCAATGCTGGCAGCTCAGAGCAGCAGTACC